GGACGAGGGGGGGAAGGCGGGGAGGACACCAGCAATAACCGAGCACTGAAAGGAAAATAATTAGCTGTTGCCGTCGCTCTTTGGGAGTCCCTGGCCAAAAAGGCGACCCGGCGTTTCCCTTCCCTCTTGTCCGTAGGCGAATCCGTCCGGTTCTCGGTGGTTTCTTTCGGTGGTTATTTTGCCAGTGTTAAACCCGGCCACCCCGCTCCCCCCGCGGGGCCCGATTCTTTCCCGCAGGTTTGGGTTGGGTTTTTTTGGTTTGGTTTTATTTTATATTTTTTTTTCCCCCATTTTCCCTTTCTCTCGGCGACTCGAGGGATGCGGGTTTCCCTTTGCTTTGGTCAGACATCTGTGGACTTAATTTTTTTTTTTTTTCCCTTCTTTTCTTTGCGCTCCCACTCCTTTCTATATGTCAGACGAAGGGGTTGTAAGAAAAACGCGAAGCTCCGGGAGTATTTACTCCGCGGCGGTTTTCCGCGGGCGCGCAGCCCCGGGCGAGGAGCGGGAAAGGAGGTTTCTCTTCGGGTTTATCGGGGCGGGATGAAACGATCCTGCTCCGGAATATCCCCGTCGGGAGAGGGACGGACACGATTTCTTTCTCTGCTTTCGCTTAACTAGAGTCGAGCTGGTCCCGGGGAATAAAACCGGTGGCCCTTCCGTGGCCAGCCGGGCTACCTCCCGCCGGCTGCGGGCTGCGGGACCCCGGCCCGTTCGGCCCTCACCTCCTCCCTCCTCCCCTGGCACCTTCTGCTTTCCATTACTGCCGATTTGGAGAATTAGGAAAGGTCAAGATCTTATTCTTTTCCCCGGTAGCTTTTTTTTTGTTTTCTCTTTCTAGTTCCTCGCAGCCCCGAACTAAAATAAATCAAGCCGGATTATAGAAACCACCTTTAAAACAGCGAGAGCATCTTTCCCAATGGCTCGGCCCTTCCTCCGGGCCTGTCCTGGCCCTTCCCTCTGACTGCGCAGAAATTCCCGTTTTCACGGTGGATTTAGGATTTAATAATAACGCCCAGTCTCCCTGTGCCCCGGTGCTCGACCTGAAAACACTTTCCTGCCTCGTATTTTTGGAAGATCGCTGCCCTCCAGCATCTTCTTTCCCTCCCCGTTTCCCTTTCGTTTCTTTCCTTTCCCGGCGCATAAAGTAGAGAAACGAGGTTTAAAAAAAAAAA